GTCAGAATAGTCAAAATCCAGTGACCGAAGAGTAATCGAATGCATCTGACAGGATTAGCATTCAAAAATGATGAATTGATCATTTAAAGTACCATTTACTCGCTGGCAGTCCTCATAGCTAGTAAGCAAATTAAAAGAAACATTGAAAACATGAGGGAAGGGGTGGAGCGATGACGTGAGGACGGATTCCGGTCATGTCACGCGGATGGTGTAGGAAGCAGAGCAGCAAAGACGCGGCTGAACAGGGCGTGAAAAAGCAATTAAAGTTAGCGTTTCAGGTAACCGAAGGCAGCCAGAGATACAAACGGCTGGAGCTTGGAGGTACCAGATGGTTACCCTAAAGAAAGCAGCAGGCATAAGATACAAGAAGAATCTCCAAACTGCAAGTACCAAAACTTCATGTATGGTGTGGAAACACAAAATTAACGTGGTGTATGAAGGTACATAAAGGTGAATTTGGAAGAAAAAAAAAAAAACAGATATCAGAAGAGAAAGGGAGGAGAAAAAGTTTTATAAAAAAAAGGGAAGGGAAAAAAAAAAGTAGGTCTGAGAAACAAGATTTTATTGGTCAAGACATATTTATAGTGTATGTACAAGAGTCCACATACATCAGGAAAATAACCAGCAATATACATAGCCCTTATAGCGCTCAGGTCCCTCAAAAAAGGGTCTTTGAATAGATTTCAAACATTGACATGCCTTAAAGGATCACTATGTCAGGAAAACACTATAGTGCCCTGAGGGTGCCCCCACCCTCAGGGTGCCCATCCCGTGGCGCTGAAGGGGTTAAAACCCCTTCAGCCACTTAGCTTAATCCAGCGCCGGTCTCCCTCAGCGCTGGTGACCTCTCCTCCCCTGCCGGCGTCTGTTCCCTCGTCTGACGTCACTGGAGCCAAATCCGCATGCACGGCAAGTGCCGCGCGCGCATTCAAAGTGTCCATAGAAAAGCATTTCTTAATGCTTTCCTATGGACGCTCTGCACGTTGGAGGTGAAATTCGCAGATGCGCCTCTAGCGGCTGTCCGGAAGACAGCCACTAGAGACTGGATTAACCCCAAATGTAATTTTTGGATGCATTTTAGGCAGCCATGACCCAGGAAGGATCTCTAACAGACATCTGAGGAGTGGCCAGTGAAGTTTTCAGTAGGCTGTAATGTAAACACTGCATTTTCTCTGAAAAGACAGTGTTTACAGCAAAAATCCTGAAGGTAATGATTATACTAACCAGAACAAATTCAATAAGCTGTAGTTGTTCTGGTGACTATAGTGTCCCTTTAAGCTAGAAATTACATCATTAATGAGATCTAAGTCTTTAAAGGACTCAAAAGTATGAAGCAATTAAAATACACAATGATTTATCTAAGAATACAAGAACAGCCAGAAGGAACTTTTCATCTTGCACTCTTAAGCTAAGGAACGCAGGAATGAAGTATATGTGGATATTTCCAGTGAGCCTCAGAGTGACATTTAAAGAGAAAATAAAAACATTTAAGGCTGTACAAAGTCTGCAACAGTGGCTACAAGAAAATGAAATCTAATAACACAAAGAGAAGAGAGTTATGTATAAGGCACCAGCGAATGGCTCCCTTCCCATCCTCCCTCCATATTGGGTGACGGGGGCAAGGGACCAAGGTCCGCTGAGTAAGTTACAACAAGCAATGAAGCATCTTCTTGGCGGTTTTCTTTTTTTTATATATATATATATATATATATATATATATATATATATATGGCATATAAACTAAACAGTCAAGATTAAAATAGATCAAAGAAAGGAGAGGAAGGTATTTGTAAATATAGTATGGAAATGAGATAAGGGGGAACACAAGTATGAGCAAATAATAGGTTAAATTAGTATTTTCACAAAAGGATGAATTAATATTCTAATATAGTTAGATATACTTGGCTGTAGATTAAAAGAGTACATTTATAAAATGAAGAATAATCACACACTTCTGCTTGGAAAGAAAAAAGATTTTGAGGCACTTAATAATAGATTAAATGTAACTTTTAACTTTTTACACAAAACAAATATGTGCCTAGAATAATAGGTTGCATGTGCCAAAAAATATACAGGTTTAAGAACAGTGGGGCGGAGCCAAGCAGCCGAGCTGAATGGCCGCACGCATCCTGAGCTCTGACTGTAGAACTTATAAAAATACATCAAAAACCCTAAAACCGAGAAATTCATCATCGGGGAACAACTATAATTTTGTAAAAATTAGCTTTCAAACTAATATATCAAGAAGTTGATACTGAAGGAAGATTTCATATTTTAATATGAGAAATTAACAATCAAAACTACACTATAGTAAACATATATGTCCCTAATAGAGCACCTACAAAATTTTTATATAAAATAATCTCCAAATTAGAAAGGGTTAAACAGGGGGAAATCATATATAAACAAGATCTAGCTGGAGATTGAACGAACAACTGTTAAAAAATAAATAAATTTAGAGACTATAAAGAAAGCAATAGATCTATACTTCAGGAAAATAGCAATATAGAGATATCAGCATCAGCTTTATGGTGTGCATTTAAATGCACAATTAGGGGTCATCTAAAAAAATTGGGAACTGAAGGGAAAAAAAGAAAAATGCAGAATATAGCAGAACTCTATATTAAATATGAACTCTTGGAAAAATAGAATAAAAGTAACCCCACGAATGAAGTAAATGAAGAATTAAAAATAATTTGAGAAAAAAATTAATACTCTTTTATTTCAAAAATCCAATTATGCACTGGAACGGTTAAGAAGAACCTAGTATTTAAAAGGCAATAAAGTCAATAAATTACTTACGAACAGGTTAAAATAGGAAAAACAAAAAAAAATATATAAAATTGTTAAGGGAGAGGAAACGATTCTTCTGCATGATACAATTGGTAAAGCATTTCAAGAGTTTTATTTAGAACTCTATAATTTGCCAAAAAGAGTTAAAAAGGTTAAGATGAGTGATTTTTTTCCCCGTAATTTAATCTTCCTAGGATATCAGAGGATCAATTGACACAACTAAATAAACCAATTTCTCAAAGTGAAGTAAGCATAGCCTTAAAAAAGTTAAAAACAAAAAAAAAAAAAAGCACCTGAGCCGGATGGTTTTAGTAATTGCGTTTTTCGAATATTTGAAAAAATATAGTAGAGCCTCTTACAGATTTATTTAACCATTTTATGAATTTTGGAGACATTACGAAAGAGATGTTAAAAGACCATATTGTGCCAATACCAAAGCCCCCCCAAAAAACCTGAATTGATAGCAAATTACAGGCATATTTGGGTTTTAAATAGCGATATTAAAATTTACTCGTCGGTCCTAGCATCAAGGATAGGCATTATCATACCTACAATCATTCATCAAGACCAAGTCAGGTTCGTAGCAAGTAGGTCTCCAACATTAACATTAGGAGACTTATAGACATTGCAGATATGGCATCAAAAGAAAATCTGTCCTTTCTGGCTCTGTCACTAGATGCCGAAAAGTTTTTTGACAGAGTCAGATGGGACTTTCTAGAGAGCGTTTTATGTAGTTTTGGTCTACAAGGCAATATTAATAGATCTGTAATGGCACTCTACACTTATTCAACTGCTAGAGTGGAGGGTATTGGCTTTTCTTCAGAATGGTTCCAGCTAAGGAATGGCACTAGGCAAGGTTGCCCACTCTCCCCACTACTATATCTGATGACAATAGAACCACTGGCGAGTTTAATAAGAGATAAAGCTACTATTAAAGGAGTAGAGGTTTTAGGAGAATCAAAAAAAACTTACAATGTATGCAGACGACGTGATTCTCACATTGGGTTACCCTCAGATATCCATGGAAGAGTTGATGGATTCTATAAGTGAGTTTTCATTCTATTCATGATATAAAATGAATTTAAGTAAATCTGCTGCACTTCCGTTTAATTTACCACAAACAGTAAAAAAAAAATCTCAGAAAAATGTGGTTTTGATTGTACTAGAAATGTTCTTGATTGCTTGGGAATAGAAATTACCAATGAGCCAACTAGAATGATGGAACAAAATTTACTAACCTTGCTGAAATATACAAGTAAAATACTTAATAAATGGCAGAATGTGGGGGTATCATGGTGGAGAAGAATCAATATAATAAAAGCATATATTTATCCAAAGTGGGTCTCTCTCTTCCGCATGGTACCTCTGCATTGCTCAGATAGCTGGTTAACCGTGGTCCAGTCGATTTTTAACAAGTTTATTTGGGCAGGGAAACATCCATGCATTAGTTCTAACAGACTGGCCTTAAAGATCAGCCAAGGAGGCATGGGTATTCCACAGTTACAACAAACATGGAAAGCATGTAATATTTCACAAGCAATTATCACTTGATCTAAAAATGCAAAGAACCAATTATGGTATGAAATGGAAAAATTATTATACAACAAGGAAAATCAGAAAGAAGAAATAAATACTTGAAATAAATACTTTATAGGGGTAAAAATAAATCTAGGTACAGTTTCAATTCTAATAGTTTAAGTTTAAAGAATATATTAACCATATGGAACAAGCTTAGAAAGGATTTAGAAAGATAAAATAATTATTAGTCTCCCCCTACGTCACTTAAATAGTTATATGACGGATCTAAATATACAGAATGGATTAATCTTGGTATTAATGAAATTGATGATATAGTAAAAAATGGTAAAATCAAAGACTTTGACTCTTTAAAGATGCAATATAAAATGGAAAGCAAAGAAATATTTACATATATAAGGGTTAAAGGATATCTTAATGATCATTTACTTAAGGATAAAACTAACAAACAAGTAAAACTAGAAAAAATATTAAAAAAATAGAAATGTTTTAAAGAAAATGGTGTCAAGCTGTCTAGACCTATATGAAAGATATTCTGAAAGTCTTATCCATTTTATAATTAATAAATGGGAGAAAGACATAAATACTAATAAGTTATGAAGAATTGAAAAGATCCTTAGCTATTGTTTCTAAGAATATACATTATCTTAATTTATCCAATGAGTCCCCTTATGTCTCGGCTAGACAATCTCTTTGCCATTTTCTGGCTGAAGCTGACCCAACGACAGCAGTACCTTGCACGCTGGGAGTCTCAGGTCTCACATCAGAGTCCACAAGCACAGCACCAGCGCACGGCACGGGTTCCGGCCCCAAGATGGGCCAGAGGAAGGCGGAGGGGAGTGTATCGCTGCAAGATGGGGGAGAGCAAGACCACATCCACCACGCAAGTTATACCCATGTCCAGACCGGACCCGAGCGGAGCACCAGCGACCTGCCGGACACAGCATGAACATAGCGGAGAACAGCTATCCTGGATCCCGCAGCGCACCGTCACACAAGCTGGCCCCCCGCAAGCTCGACTCCCCATAAACATGGAGCACAGAGAGCCGGCCTGGGCGGACACTGCAGGGTTCAAGTTACAAACACAGATACTCTCGGGTGCCACCAAGCCTGAAAAGCCTACCATGCAGAGACTATGCTTTACCGCTGCAGGGCATCGGCTGAATGGAGACCAGGACTTTATCTCTGACATGGTACCTGTCCACCACGTATAATCATAGAACCTGTTGAGTATTTACTTTGTTTCTCTTCATTAATTATCAACATATATGCGGGACTGGGGAGGCCATGCGATACAAATGAAAGCAGTCATTTAACTAATTTAACATTGGCGATGTGTAGGCTAAAGGTGAATCTTGAAGCCACTGCCGATGCATGTGTGGGGCAGGGGTGGCTATGCCATATGCTTAACAGCTGCCCTTTGACTAATCAGGCACTAGAGATGTGTGAGCATAATGTGCTTCTAATGAGGGCACTGCCAGTTCTCATACCGGCATCTCATTGCTCTCAAGTTAGCTCACAGGGCCTTCGGATGGAACATGCACCCACCGTTCAATAGTTCTGAAACCTCCAAATCTACTCTGTTTAACCTATATTAGAGCTGTGCCTTGCCTTGATTCTCTCATTTACATATAAAAAAGTGCAGCATCATCGACATTTCCTATCCTGCTCTTTAACATTGATATGTATACTCTTGTGAAATGTTTGAACCACTAAGTCTGTTATACTTTGCACTGCCTAAAATAAAGAATATAATATATACACACACACACACCCCCCCCAACAGAGTTGTGGTGGGGAGAATAGTGTGGATGGAAACCCCTTCCACCCCAAATGGATAGTTAATACATTACTAAACACAAATACACACACCAGTCAAGCCATAAGACTTGCTTTTCATGAACGTGAAAGTGCTTGTCGGATCTTGGAACCCGAAGGAGGATTCCAGTTCCTGGTAGAATGGAGACTATTCCGTATACAGTCCTCGGATAATACCCTGCTAACTTCTTCATCCAGGCAAATGGCGAATTCTCCTACTAAAACAATTTGAATATCCCCTTTCTCTATGGACAGTGGTACGCTAACTCCTGGAAGGCGAACTGATGAAAGGACTGCCTACGATATCTGTTAAGTATCCTGAGTGATTATTTAACCGTTTACGTAATTTAATGTTTTGTTTATATTGTCTATTTTCTGGGCTGTATATTGCTAAGTCTAATTGGAGCACCCTCAAAATACTTCATAGGTGCATTACAACCCCTGAATGTTGGGCTAAGGTAACATCCCCAGGACGTACTTGAAAACCAGAGTAATCTGAATGTACCTTTTCCTGGTTAAATACTTTTGTTATTATTATAACGAGTTCCATAAGATATTGCTCACTCCACAGAGATCTGATAAAAAAAATATAAATAAATAAATAAATAAAAAACAGACATGTGAGCATAGAACAAAGTTGTTGCAGGACTTGGAGCGGTTGGATTCACTAAACAAGCTCAGCTCCTCCAAAACCCTGTCGAACAAAATAGAAAATATTAAACGTAATCTATACACGCTCTCCCTCCAAGATATAGAGAGAGACGTATGAGAGCATTAAATCAATAATAGGGATCGACTGATTATCGGTCTGGACGATATTTTCGGCCGATATTCTGTATTTTCGGCAATATTGGTATCGGCCTATAGAGATACAGATATTGCCGATAATACATACCAGGACCGCTAGGCATCAACTGGCAATAAAAGTAAAAAAAATTTTTTTTATTGCCAGTTGATAAAGCCCTGTGTGGCAAAACGCGTTTTGGCTATTTTTAACTATATTTTATGTATATTAATAAAGGAATATTGGCTTCTTAATTTTGTTTGTGCCACATTCCCTGCTTTTATTTTATGATTTAAATATTACTTTAATTTAATTTTATTTATTTTAACCTGGTCATTCACAACTTTGGAACCTCCATTCATCAAAGAATCCTAGGTAGGGATTGTACCACCCACGCTATTTACAGTGAGCAGTACATCCTGCTCGCTCAAATGTGAGTACTTTACCTTCCAATTTTAACCTGCTAATTATACATTCAGTGAGCACTATATTTGGTTTTATTTTTCTTCTCCATATCGAGGACCACCTCCTCCGCCTACCAACACCTATATCCTACCAGTGAGGGATCAACGCCACTGAACGCCGGTTACACTAGAGCTAGTCTTAGCTCTCTGATAGGTGAGTGAAAATATCACCCTGCTGTGAAGTTTTTTTCCCCGTTTTTACTGCAGTCTGCACTATTGGAGTCTCTCTATTTTTTATTCACATATCTTAACCTGAATCAAGAGCAGCTCAATATACCAATATCAGCAATACATACATATCCACATCTAACCATAACTCCTGCAAGCATATCTGGTTTCCTTCCTGCTGATTTTAATATCAAGTAATATTGTATATTTTGCTCTGTTTGATATATGTAAGTACATATTTGTTATTTATATTGTCCTACAGTTTACTGTGGCGCGACCTATTTCTACTTTTTTATTTACTCTGAGTAGCAACCAGATTAGCAGGCTACTAGTAGACCCCAAATGCTGCTCACTATAGCACCCATACAATCTCTTACTACATTATCCCCAGACCTCCATGTTGATCGTGGGTAAGACGGGGCATAACAAAAATGTTGTACCTCTACGACAGACAGAGACCCAATCCCAGGTGGCAACACTCTCATTACACGTCCAGCGTGTTACCCGCACAGTTACTTCTCTTGAAACGCGGCACCGTCGAAGAAACATCAGGTTACGAGGGGCGCCAGAGTCAGTGGGCCCAGAAACTTTACTAGAATTTGCAAACAAGGTGGCTGGAGTATTGGGGGTGAAAGGAGACCACGAAGCTGCGCCAATAGCATCAGCTTTCCGTATTCAGAAGGCCCTAACCGCCCCTGCACCCAGGGCCATTATAGCCATTACCCGAGATGTCTCTATTAAAACGGCCATCCTGGCTCGCTCCAGAAATCGCCCCACCATCAAGGTGGAGGACTACACCCTTAGGATCTACGACGACTTACCATTCTCGGTCCTCGGTGTTGGACAGACGGAGATTCCTACCAGTCACCAAACTGCTAAGGGAACATACCGATGGGGAACATTGGGAACTTTGGTGGTACCCCACTGAGATACCGTACTGACTTTGTCAGCGGAGGAAGACCCAACAGCCCTTCTGAGTACACTTACGTCGCCCACGAGGTCCGAGGAAACTGCAGTCCCAACAAAGGGAACACCCGGTTTGGAGACAGAAGTCCAGGGCAGGGTCCAGGAACCCCCATAGAATGCCCCATCCAGCTGAGAATGCCTAGGGCAACTAAAGGGTTTATACGACACCCACACTCTACCTGTTTACTTACAAACTGCCAGCATAACTGTTGAATGAGGTTTTAGTTGACTGTTTTTTTTCTTGATTATTGCCTTATATTTTCTTTATTTAATTATATATTTATTCTTATATCAACGATGGCTAAATACTTAACCAAGCGGAGGGGAAACGTGGAAAAGAGAGGGAGTACAGAGAAGCATATAGGGGTATGACAGCGGAGTTATTGGTGAGCGCCTTATGGGTGTTAAAGTCTTCACCATAGGAGCTCAGACAGCCAAATCCTCAGCCTCCCTATAGTGAGACACCTTACAGAGGAGGGATAGGTTCACTGGATCCCTTAGACACAGTAGGCTAACAGGGACCCCAACGCCTCGCATGTCACAGGCTGCCAAAGGAATTACAAATAGACCATATGCTTGGCATGCCGGTCTATATGCAAAGACTTTTTTTTTTTGTTGAACATAATTTTGTATATGCGGGCAAAAACCCTATCCTGACAGGGAACATGGACGGGTAGTGGAGACAGTTTGAGGGTGAATGGGAGTATTAGAGGCAGCCTTGTCTGTGTGAGCCCCGGGTGCATACATGCCCTTGCCAAAGAACCCTAGATAGGTGAGCACTAAGTCACCCTGCATTTTGACACCTTAAAAAGGTGTGATTTCCCAGACGCAGTAGTCTCACAGAGACCCCGCATCCAGCACCAGGTAACTGCTCCTAGAATTACAAACCCACATTTCATGGAGTCCCCCTGCGTGGGTGCACTGGGTTCCAACAAGACGCACAAGACAGTATACCAGGGCAGAGTGCAGTGAGACAGAGACATGGTAGGGGATGTGATAAAGTAGTGGGCTTTGGATTACCCTTGAGAGCTCTGTATTTGTTTTTTGTTTTTTTTTCTTCTTATGCTTATCTTGAAAGTAGTTTTTATGGCATGTGCCTGTTGCTATGCTATAATCAGCTGTATTACTTCATGCTATGTCTGGAATTTTTCTGCATTACCAAAATATGTGGAAGCAATCCACATAAAAAAAAATAAAGAATAAAAAAAAAAAAAAATTGCATCTGTGCTTTTCGGTCATGCCAAATGTATTTCATGAATGTTTGGCGAATCTGCATGAAGAATATCAGTGGAATGTGGACTGGCAGAATCTGTAGTAGATACAGGAAACATGGTAGAACGTTAATTTTAAGAACATTTACTTTGCCAAGGCATGTGATATGGGGAAGTAGCCATGCGTGAAGGTCTCATTACACCTAAGCCAGCAAAGGTGGAAAGTTGAGACGGAACGTTCTTCCATGGATAGCCAAATTCCAAGATACTTTATTGTCTCTTTACAGTACTTAAGAGGAAATGTATTCCCGAGTGAGGTAGTTAGGGCTGGTGCACAGTCAATCCTGAAAATTTCAGACATTAAGTAGTTTATTTTAAAATTGGAGAGCAGACCATATTGTTCAAATGCAAGCATAATTGCAGTAAGCGAAGGTCCTCAGGTTGGTCAGCAAGAAAAGAAGCTCATCCACGTATGCAGAGATCTTGCTTTCATTGCAGGACCCACTGATGCCTGTGGTTTGTTGATTTTTGTGGATATCGTTAAGAAAAGGTTCCAAGCTGAGGATAAATAGCAGGGGTGACAGCGGACATCCCTGTCACTTCCCATTCCGGATATAAAAGGGTTCAGAGAGCACACTGTTGACACATACCCAGGCTTTTGGAGCAGAGTACAGGGCCGCCACCCATGCCAACTTATTCGGTCCAAATGCCAGCTGTTGGATGTCTTTGAGTGTCTCAAAATAAGAAGGACCAATACACCCTGTCAAATGCCTTCTCCATATCCACAGAGACCAGGAGAGGAT